CCGCGAAGTGAGGTTGACCTTAACCCAAACCGCTTCAATTGTAGTAAATAGTTCGTTGGAGATTACGCAGGAGGTGAATTCGTTGGAAACAGCGATGAGCACACCACCACCGCGAGTACGAATGCTGTTGGATGAATTACGGTCTAATCTGTAGACAGTAAAAGAGTCACCAAACAGTTGCACTGAATTGTTCCTCCCATCGAGCCAAGTTTCCGTGAATACATAAACGTCATATTCCCCTTCAAGCGCAGCCAGATAAACATCGTCCAATTTAGTCATGAGCCCCCTGGTAGTTATGGTATTGAAGTTGAATGAAATAAATATGCCACAAGCTTACTTATCTGAAAGTTTGAAAAACATCGGTCGACTAGGTAATTTTCTACAGCGTTTTTTTTTTGTGATACAATTTGATGTGGGACACCCTTTATAATACAGAAACAACATTTTGGTTGTCTAGAACTTCCCTCATCCCGATTAGCATCTCCATCCACCAATTGAAAATTGAAAACCCCCTAACCCCCTTTTTTAGCTGAGTAAGGTAATTTTTGCCTGAATAAACTATTATTTAGCTTTCAGCGGTTGTTGGGGGTGCAATTAGGTTAACATAGGGTAGAGCGCTACTTCGTCGTAATCGCTCATTTCCGTTCTATCGATCAGAAAAGATCAATAATATCAATGATTTCACCGTGCACAAATCAATAATAAGTTTGTCCCGATGTGTTAGTTCATTAGCTACAACATAAATCCTGTTAGAATTTGTATTATAATTATCCATTGTATGAATATTTAGGCTCATGGTTCTCAAAACAAAAGAAGCGCTCCTAGCGAATCCCCTTTTTCTACGTTTATTCGTACGAAGAAAATCTAATGGCGTTTCAATGCGTTAGGACGGAATTGAAACTCGTAGAACGAATTTGGAATCAAGAAGCAGTGTTAGATTTTAGACAAGACTTCAACAATTTGTGACTCTTTATCAAATCCAACGGTACGTATGGAAAGGTGAATAAATTTGCAGTCATCTTTGACAGAAATATTCCATTTTTGTTTAAACTCGTCCAGAAAAGAGAGGTAAAGCGCGGATTGTGCTTAGTCGGACGGAAATTAGATCATAAACCCTACTCAAATTTGGGGATAAATTCCTTCTTTTTTAATTTCGATCAAAATTCCCGAAAAGCCAAATGACACAATAACATTTGTGAAACCAGAGTAGAAGAACTTTTTTTTTCAATAAATGAAAGAATTCATCAAGATGAAATCCTATAAAGATTTCAGTTGATGCCTGGCAACTTGAAACACAAAATTTACGTGATGAGCAGAGTCGTACTCAGGATATTTTTTTTTGGTGGCAAACTCTCATTTTCGCGTAAAAGAGAAAGATATATTGCAGCAAATTATCTCTTTCATACCTATTTTCTCTGAAATGGAGAGGGATTTGTTCCCCCGATGACCCAACGAGTCAGCTCATAGAAGCTGCATACAAATTGAAATCCCTGTTTATAAATTTTTCCAGGATTTCGTAGAGCTTCGATGAAGTTCTTCAAACTTTCCTGGTGTTCTTAGAACTTTTTTGATGTTCACAGAACGTCTCTGACTTTAACATTTTTTTTTCTAAAATTCCCAGATATTTCTTAAAGTTTACAGTACTTTCCTAATGTTAATAAATTTTTCGTGCGGCTCGCAGAACGTCGGTCTAGCTTGCAGAACTGTCCTGACGTTTGAAGAACTTTTCTTATTTTAGTAGAACTTGACGTGTGCCGACGCTACAATGAAGTTCAAATAATTTTGCTCTAGAGTTTTCAGCACTCTCTTGAAGCTCGTAGAACTTATCAGGAGGACATTGAACTTTCTTGAAGCTCGCAAAACGTCCCTGAAGTTTGCAGAATTTTCCTGAAGTGTGTAGAACTTCTCTGAGGATCGAAGTATTTCCCTGAAGTTTGCAGTACTTGTCTTGAAGTTTGGAAAACTTTACTGAAGTTCGACGCACATCTTTATGTTTTCAGAATTTTCCTGAAGGTTGTACAACTTCTCTGTTTCTCTGGAGTTTACAAGAATTTCCTGGGGTCGCAGAATTTTATTGAAGTTCATCCAATTTTCCTAGAGTTCGAAGATCTTCGTTGAAGTTCGTAGAACTTCTCTGGAGTTTGTAGATCATACATGTGTTCGCAGAAGTTCTCTCAAATTCGCAAAAAGTTCACAGAACTCCCCTATGGTTTGCAGAACTTTACTGAGGTTTAGAACTTTGCTTAAGTTCGAACAACGTTCGAAAACAATGCAGAATGTCTCCAAAGTTTGAGACAGTTACCTCAAATTCTCAAAACCACTGAACTAACAAGAACTTCACTGGAGCTTGCATAATTTCCCTGATGTTCGCAGAACTCCATTGAGGTTTATAGAGTGTCCCTGAAGCTCTTAGAACTTTCCAGATGTTTGCAAAATGTCCCTGAAGCTCGCAGAATTTTCCTGAAGTTCGTTCACAAAATTACGCATAATTCGCAGAACGCGTTTAAAGTTTGTAGAACTTTCCAAAAGTTTACTGCAGTTTCCTGAAGTTCACTAAATTTCTCTATAGTTCGCAGAATTTCCTTGAAAGTCACAGAACTTTCTTGAAAGTGTCGTTAGATAAATTATGTGAACTGCGTTGAAGCTCTGACAATTCAATAGCCACTTAAACTTAGGACTGGGCTCACTGGGCAAGAGTAGCTAACCTCACGTGAGTTTGAGAAGTTTCATCAAGCCTTTGCTCCGGTTCGTCAATGGTTGTTAAATTCATTAGTAACAGTTCAAAAATCAACCTTGTTAATTTCTGTATTATGAACATTACCGATAAACCGATTTTCTCACAGAAATTCGTCATGGTTGTCAAAATTTATTTTCGATCTTGCCGTTAAGTAAAAATGTAAGCAATTTTTGCGCCGCTCTGGATTGTTTGGTGGTGAATATCACCTTCTCCACCTGCTGATTACGATGATAGTAATTACAGAAGCTCTCGTCCCAACTTATTCGGGCTACAGAACATTGGATAATCGTGATGACAATCCATCCATCCAATTTTCCCTTAAGTGAAAATGAAGGTAATTTTTCAAGTTTGTTATTTTGATGGGTGTTTGGTTGAAGAGTGAAGCATCCCAGGTTTAATCTTTTGTTGTGGCAAATCTGACAATTGGCCAATAAATTTAGCTGCCATTTTTCTGCAACGTAGTTGAACGAAGCTGAAGCTTAAAAAACGTGAAGAGGCGTGGTTGTTGGAAGACTCTCCTGGAGCCTTCCAGCACAACTTTTGTCAATGTACAGTTTTCCCCCAAACACTGCAGTAGATCCCGACAACCGCTATTTTTAAAAGCAGACGAAATTGTCCACCTCGCATAGTTGACGTTCAACACGACGACGGTGTGTGCCTTCAAAATTGAAGGTTGACACCGATTTTCGAACTGCCGACCATGCGTTTCCATCGGTCGTTAGAAATTTGCCAACCTCGCAATGACTCACTTCCTTTCCTGGAATAGCCCTGACCAGAGGAAAAACACACCATGTGTGCTGTTCACCCTCCACCAGCAGTGCTGTATCTCTAGGTATGCACATATGTGTTCCCATTTTTACGACTTAACCCAAAAAAAAAAAATCGACTCTCACTTTTTTTTTCGATTTTCTACAAGCCTCCACCATTCCTCTCCCCGGTGGGACCCACTAGATTAGCGAAGAATAATTGTCTTGCTAGCTCAGCTGCTCTCGCAGCCGAAAACAAGTGGGTGCCGTGTGCGCCACGGGTGGCGTAGGCGGATTCACCCCATTTCCACCACTTTTCCGCCCCCGTCAACACACTCTCACACGCACACACCCACACACTCACATCTACACACCTATCGGCGTTATGTGTCATCCGTGCAGACTGTGCCCAACGTGCGCACATATTTTCCCCCGGTTCATCATTGTGCGCACTCGGCTCAGAAGGCAATAAATTTTCGGATCGCGAGGAAAATCAAGAAGTTTTCGGGTCTAAATTTACTCTTCATCCGCATAAATGTCCCGACTCTGCCGCCCGGTTCAGTTCAAATCAAATCCACAAGTGTTTGCGCGCACGAGTGTGTATGTGCACGTGTGAGTTTGTGTGTGCGTGCATGTGCGAGTGTGCACGGCGCGGAATGCGCCGGCGCAGCTGTTGAACATTTTTGCCTTCAATTCTCGGGCAAAATTTTATTTTTATACACTTTCAAACACTATCCGCTGTGGTGCGGCGCGGGTTCAGGTCCGATCGTTCGCTGCTGTGTATACATTTGCACCTAAGCGCGTACATATTTTCTGTCGGGGGTGAGCTATTTTTGAAATTATATCATTTCCACACCGCGCTAAGTCACCACTGCGAGCGTTCGAAATTACACTCCGACAACACTATTCCACCCGAGCGCCAGGCCAGCCCGAGTCGGCCGAGTTGTCCTCGAGAGCCATCATCAGAGTTGGTGCTGATTGCGAAATTTTTGCACGTTGACTCACGTCAGAGGCCGATGATAAGGTCCGTTTTTAGACAAGTTCAGGTCCCTCGCCAAAAGTAATCGTCCACACAGCAGTGCACAATTTTCGTTTATTTATTTTTTGGTCTTTGACATTTTCACAAACATTCCAGCACTATTGTTCCATTGTTTCATTACGCAAACAACAAAAAAAAAAGATCATGATTCATTTGCCAAATATCCCACCGAAATGTCACCGATCGAAATCCAATGCCGATTCCGAGATAGCTATGATGTAATTCACTTCGTCCGAATTCGTTCTTCACTGCGTCGCGCACACACTGCGATCGTATTCCCTTTTATGGTCATAATGCACGAAAATGGCGAACAGCAACTCTTCCGAGCACCACCAATTCTCAAAAAAAAAACCACCGAATTCTACTATCCTTCCACAGGATCACCAATTTACGCACCGATCAGTAGCAACAGGAGCAGCAACAGCAGCAGCAATCCAGCACCCAGCACCAGCAGGATATCCCAGGAATTCCAACTCACCTCAACTACAGAAAAAAAGGAAGATTGAATCACACAAAACTCTCGGATCTCGGAAAGAATACTGATCAATCCGAAGAATAAAGGCTGACTATTTTCACTGCAACAATTTCTGGCCCGAGCACGGGGGCCCTCGGCACGAAAATCACGACGTCGATCGGCCCACACGTACACACATACACACGAACACATGGGGAAAGTGTTTTTCCTCCCCGAAGGTGGTGGGTGAACCCCCTTGTCTTTGGTCGTCGGCCGTCGCCTACATGAAAATCACCGCGCACTCGCCATCCCACTCACGCTCCCGTACCGTGCCCCTGTGTGTGTGTGTGCGCGCCTGTGCCTGCCCTGCCATCTGTGCTCTGTTGGCGCACAAGGCAGTGCGTGAAAAAATGGGGACCCCTAGAGGAACATTCTCAAAATAACCACCGCAAGACGGAATGAATGAAGTCATCGTCGTTTACTGGGTGGCAGGCTGCCGTTGCACTGCTGCGTAGATGGGGGTGACTATATGCTCTGCATAAGGTGATTCCCCGAGTGTCGCGAAAATGACGACTGACGGAGGCCACCGCCGCCATTAACCTGGGGCATTTGGCCGTTATTTGTTGACACCTGCGCACCACCTAGGAGCTAGATACGGAACTTTCCACTACTAAACGCAAATTTAAAAAGTTTGAATTGGTCTGTGCATTTGACTTAGGGCTAACTTTTACAAATGGTCCAATCCTCGTGATTTCATTCCAAAAGAAAAACGAGATGAGAGCTTCACATATCATAATTGTAGACACTTTAAAGTGGGAGATGGATGGTGTGGGTGTGTGTCTACAACTCTTACAAATCTTAACATTGTATTGATGATTGTCTACGCAGGGGGAGAGGGTGTCTGAAGTCCTTGAAATACCGTATAAACTGCAGAATAAACGAGAGCTGTAGAGTCGGATTAAAATCGATCGACTCCGACTCTGACTCCTCTGATTTGAAATCAACCGACGTCGACTCCGACTCCAATTCAACAAAATAACAGTACTTTTGAGTGATTGCAGACTGTTGGGGAGGATTCGGATTGTGCGAGAGAAATATAATTCTTGAAGCAGCTTAGGATAGGATATTAGGATAATTTGAAGTTACTTACAGAATTTTAGTATTCTTTTCTCCAGTGTTTAACGTGCTCCTGACCTGATGGGGCTCGAACGGGTTAATAGGCTAGTTTTAGGTTACAAATTGGTAGAATAGGTATTTTAATTCATGTAGGTAATAAGAAACTTACTTTTAGGTGTTCAAATTCAGTTAGCAAGTAATTTTAGTAAATAAGCGCACAACTATTTTAAGCAAATTTAATTATACAAAAAATCACTTCTGTTCACGTGTCAATGGTCGTCTTTTTTCCCTTCCTGGTGACATCATCTCATACCTGTCAGCCTCGTATCTATCATACAGTCAGCAACTCGGCAGTTACTAATGAGGTAGGCTCATCACTGCCTTGCTGCATAGTGGGCTTAACACAGACGAATTAGCAAATTAATTAATTTTCATATTTTTTTTAATTGTCTGAAAATTTTTAGAAACTTTCCTCGTGACCAAAATAAGGCCATTTTACATCTTCAGATCCCCATTTTAAATCGAGCCTTAATTTTGAAAATGGCCTACAGAAAAATGTTAAACTTATCTTCAGAAAACTGTTACTCGAAAAATGTTTGTCCAATCGGTTTGGTACCTTCGGTACAGTTGTTGGGAACATCTGGAACTATTTGAAAAAATAGCGCTTCAAACTTAATTTAACTATTTTTTTAAATTTAAAATAAAAAGTAGAAGGGTCTGTGCCTAGGGGCACGAACGGAAGCTTGACGTAGAACTGCTAGTGGACGGAATAAATGTGAAGAGCATTTAGTTCTTTTAATTGATCAATTATCTATTATCAACTCTATTATCTATTATCAACTCTTTCCGTTTTTGAATTGTAGGCGTACCAAATTTGTAGTAATTTTGTTCAAAGAGAAAGTTGATTAAGAGAATCAATCAAAATCACTTGCACCCCTGCTTCCAAGTTTGGTTACAATATTACAACTCTGGAGAGCATTTTGTGTGGTCGTTGGGGGCTTGTGGTTCTGAATATGGACAAACAAGCACAGATAAATTCTATTCCAACTCTTTACTGATGTAAGCTTGATGACCCTGAAAAGGGCCGTTTTATTTATTGAAGAGGACATCCATGGCCATTTACGCTTGGCGTGTTTAGTGTAGGTGACAGCATCACGGACCTCATTTTCCAGGAACACCTTCAGCACACCTCGTAGATTACACCGAAGATACGTTTGACACCACCACGGCGAGTCAGACGACCGATGGCGGTTATCTCGAAGAACTTTGCGATGACGCTTGGCGCTTCCTTTACCAGACCTTTTCCTCCTTTGCCACAACAATTGTTGCTTGTTAGGTGTGAAGGAGTGGACTAGCCACCACCTTCCTACTATTGCTGTTCACCACGCCGTCCGAAGCGAAAATGAGCTAATGCCATACAGAAACGCTCTTTTATATCTTTTCAGGTTAAAGCAGAATGATGTGCAACCAAGTTGTATAAAAACTACAAAGACTCCTCCCATTATGAGTAGTTTGCTGGCTCTTTTCCTTTTGCGTACACGGCGAATGAGAACGACCCAAATTTGAGTTTAGTTCACTCATAATCACCAAAAGTGCAGGAACTCAGCGATGAGTAAATTTGTCTCATGGTTTCCTGTGGAAAACCTAAAAACTCTACCAGAAAATGAGGAAATTGACGAAAATTTTATTCAGTCTCGGAGTAGTACCAATAGACTGAGTGAATCCAATCTTTACTTTTCTCAAATTCGGGAATTTTTCCCTGGAAAATCCTGGTAAATCTTGGGAAAACATGAGGCAAATTTACTCATCGCTGAGTTCCTACACTTTATTTCTTATTTCTGAGATAACTAAACTCAAATTTGGGTCGATCTCATTCGCCGTGATATCACCTTGAAAGATATCTGCGCCGGTGATTAGCGTGATTACCTCTCACCCCAGCAGGCCTGGGTCCAAATCTCAATCGGCGCCATCGGCATGTTCTAAGGCATAACATCTCTGATCACGCCTTCCTTCGGGAAGTAAAGCCGTTGGTCCCCGGTTGAGTAGATGGGTCGATTGGTAGCATCCAGGTGTGGGAGCTGCCTCCCTGGCGTCGGTAGCATTGGAGCTCAGTACGGAAAACAAATATTTTTTCCCGGAGGATCAGAAAATCTATTTGTTTAAAAAATGAATTTCTGTCTGTCTGTCTGTCTGTCTGCACAACTTTATTTTTTGCTGTGTGTTTAACCCTTGTAGACGCTTTTTTTTCCTTTGGTTTGTTTTTTCCGTCGATCTTGTTTTCCGTGCTGAGCACCAATGCTACCGACGTGCCAGGAAGGCAGCTCCCACACCTGGACCCTACCTACCCATCAACTCAACCGGTGATCAACGGCTTTACTTCCCATCCGAAGGAAGGCGTGATCAGAGATGTTATGCCTCAGAACATCCCGGCGGCGCCGACTGGGATTGAACCCAGGCCTGCTGGGGTGAGAGGTAATCACGCTTACCACTACACCACCGGCGCCGTTACCCCTTGTAGACTCAAAAACTACTGAACCGGTCGGCGTGAAAATTTGAATGCAGGGGTTTTTGGGGTCGGGAAAGCTTCTTATGATGGTTCTAGACCCCTTCCCCCGCTGTAAGGAGGGGGGGGGGGAGCTCGCATACAAATGAAACAGAAATTTTTGAATAACTCTAGAACTAATCAACTAAATGGATCTAAATTTGGCATGTGAAGTTCACTATTTGAAAGGTATGACTATCTAATTTCTAGCGAAACAGACAGAAAACCGATTGGACTTATGCTTGGCCAGTCGGAACGACAAAACCTGTGAGAGGTGGCTCTGGGGAAATTCGGGTTTACCGGGAAAATGGTCAATTCCTAGTAGACCTAGAGATTCACGATAGTTTCTAAATTGCATATGCACATTATTTGGTAGCACCGGGAAAATGGTCAATTCCCGAAAGTAGACCTAGAGATTGATTGGATCACCCGGTGGTCATAAATACCCCTCCAGTTGTAGCCAGCCCGGGCGATCCGTCTCTAAAAACGTGTGGCTTAGGCGCCACTCCACAAGGAAGAGCACACGCCCAATGTAAATTTGCCCGGTTGAGACTCTCCTAAGGGCGAGTCCAATAAATTTCCTAGAAAGGATTTACGGATGGCTTTCAACTAAACGTCCAAAACGGGAAAACCCTATTATCCCCATAAAACCACAAACACGATAGTCACTCAGAGAGTCGGTGAGAGCTCACCCATACCTAAAAACCTCTACAAAAAAAAATTTATCATCATCGGCAGTCTCGTCACTTGCCACTAGACGTCGCCCCGATCTGGAAGTGGACTACTCTCCCGAACATTCAAACTCTCAACATGAGGACGGGACACGAAAACCACAACGGAGAACGCGAAGTGATGTCGAATACATTCAATCAATTAAAGCTAGGGTGATGGTCATTTTACGAAAACATTTATTATTACGGAACTATTCAGGCGGTATATTTAGTGCATAACGGGTGTTCCAACATTACTTATCCTACGTATATTTATTTACATGTTCCAATTGATTTTGGTTTACTTGTGTGTGTTCGCTCCTATCTCCTATGTGTGTGCGATTTCTCTCTCCCTAACTAACGTGCTCATGTGCTCTACTTGTTCATCTGTGTGACGTCACTTTATCGGCAACTCAGCTCCAAACGAGTCTGCGCTTCTGGTGACAACGACGTTGGCGTTGAAAAACGTTACGTTTCAAAGGCGGGAATGCCACATCACGAGTTCTGGAAAAGCGTGTCACGGAAACCCGGCGCTACTCGCTCATCAGTCTTAGACTGGCAAAAAATCACTCCGTGGCGCCCTCGCCGGACGCCACACTCCAAGAATAGAAAAAGGCTTGACTCACCAGATGATGTTGACTTACGTGATGGTCACAGTTGATGACCTATCGACGGGTTCGACGCACTCTTTATTGATTGTCGATGGTGATCCGATGAATGGAGGTGCTTCGCTGACAATGGCGTTTCACACGCCGATGCGATGG